AGGAAAAAAAAAAAAAGAAATAGAATTTCTTATAATCTTATTTTAATAATAATCTTATTTTAAAAATTGATACAAACAAGTTTTTTCCTTCTAGGAACCAATATTGTTTGATGAACTCAGTCATTCTTAAAATCCTATCTGTACGTTTTTAGCTCTGGCAAAGAATTCTTTCCATTCCAGATGGAAAAGCATTATAAATACCATTAAATACGTATTTGGGCCAGACACATAATCAGTAGCATACATTCAGCTAACATTGCGTAGTTAGAGCTACCGTTACCAATTTCATAGTGAAAAGGTAACTGTTTTCATCAACCTTCCTGATACACGCCTTGATTTTCTTGCTTTACACTTTGCCCAAAAGTATTATAAATGCCAGCTGCAGAAACCAAAACTGTGGCTAGTTTAAAACCAAAATGTATTACCTTGGGAGTAAGTATGAGAATGAGTTGGGCATCGGCATCTAGGGAAAAGGAAAAAAAATGAAAAATGTAAAGTGAAACTGGAAACCAAAAAATAAAAAAGTAACTTACGTTGCATTCTAGTCCTAAGGTGCTATCACACTGGTGGTTATTGGCAGACACTGTACAATAGAAACCAACAAACCAACCAAAAAACGCAGAAATCCCAACGGACGACAGTTGACCCAGAGTCCTCCCATCCTGCAGGATCATTCTTTCCCGGGTTCTTTGCTCAAGCACTGCTCAGAGAAGCACTGCGGGGACGGTCAGGTTTAAGACGGGGTCCCGGTCTCCCCTAAGCCCCAGCTCTTACTAGGTTAGGAGCTTTGACCAGACTGTCCCCAGGCTGACTCGCCCCTGGCGCCTCTTCTCCCTCATCCCCTGCGCTGGGAACTTTTCCCCCGTGTCTTCAGGCCGTTCCAGTTTTCTTCAGACCAGCTCTGGACTCGTGCTTGCAGGACGCCTCCCCGGACCCTCAGCCCTCCCCGGTCACCGCTCGCGTCCCTCCCTTCCCGGCCCCCGGAGCCACGCTCTCCCACCTCTCTGTCGCCTCCCTGCGGGTTTCCCACGTCCTCCTCTGGGAAACGTTCCCTGCCCTGGCTCACGTCTCCCCTCCCTGTCCGGGTCGCCTCCCGTTTCTAGGACAGTCCCTTCTCCGGCGGGCCTCTTCCTCCTGTTCGCTATCTCATCGAGGGAGCAGAACACGGTTTCGTGTTGCTTTTGATTGTCACAACGGGGTCTCAGTAGAGACTCGAGTGCATAACCTCCTCCTCCCTGCCCCCACCCGCCCCAAACTCAAATTTGGAATGAAAACATCCGAGGGGGAAGAGTGGAGAAGCGTTGATCTCCGTGGCTGTAGAGATCTCAAAAATTCCGAGTCGAGAAATCAAATCCCGGGGAGGCGCCGGCGACAGGTCGCACGAGCCACGGCTGCCATCTGGCGGGCACAGCCGGCCGCGGGCGTTTAGGCGGCAGTGCGCCGGGCCCGGCTTGCTCCCCTCCCCCTTCTCGTTCTGTTTTGTTTTCAAGCTCTGCAGCTACCTCAGCTCGTCATTTCTACTCCTTCCTTGAGGTTTGTATCCTCCGCCCTCCCGCCTTCTCGGGCTCCATCTGTCCTGCGTTTCTCACTCAATTCTTCTCGGCATATTGGTGCTTCATGCCGGAGGCTCTGGCGTGCCCACCCCGGGGTCTCCCTCCCGGCCTGCACGCGCCGCCTGCCTTTCCTCGCCTCCAGCACACGCCTTGGCCCCTGCAATGGGGCTGCAGCGACCGCGGGTCCCAGCCGCCTGCAGCACCTTCCCAGCCCGGCTCCAGCAGCGCCGAACCCGGGCCACGTCCGCGGCGGGTGCGCGAAACTGTCGCCTCTTTCCGAACTCTGCTCGCCTGGGTGCCCTCGAGCTGCTCTTTCTCCGGCTGCTTTTCCACTCTGCTCATTCCTTCAGTGCTGGGGTTAGTCCTGGGCTGCCTTCGGCCATTCTGACCCTCCTCCTCCCTCACCCATTATAACCCACCAGCCATCAAGGCTCCACCGCAACACACCCTCTTCCCTCCAGGCCCTTGCCACTCTCCGGTTCCCGTGTCATCTCTTATCTGCATTACTAACCATTGCATGGCGCGGCCCAGCTCCTCCTTACTCTGGTGTCCGGTAGGATGCATGCCGGCCGTGCTGGGCAACTGCATCTTGTGCGCGCGGGCCAGGTTCCGCAGCCGGTTCAGCTCGTTTTTGGCCACTCTTTCTTTCTTGGCCTGAACACGCTTGGCGAACTGGTCCTCCATGGGGTTGGCGCTTCCGGGCACCTCGATCAGCCATTCCTTGGTGTCGTCCCGGGCGCGTTGGTAGCCCCAGCGACGCCGCCACTGACCGCTCACCTCGTCCCACACCAAATTGGTCTTCTTCTTGGGACGAATGCCCTTGAGGCGTGCAAACTGCTGCCAGCGTGTAAGGGGCCGCGGCCGGGGCACCGGCTTCTCACGCGGCAGGCGCGTGGTGGGCTCGGGCAGTCGCGCCACCAGCGCCTCTTCCACGCGCTCGGTGGGCAGCTGCCACAGTTGGTTGATGAGCAGCTGCGTGTTGTCTCGCGCCAGGGCCCGCAGCTCGGCCTCTGGAGTAGATCCCGCGTGCCGCAGCCCCGTTGGGGGGTTCCGGTCCAAAGCCAGCAGGTTACCCAAGTCAAATTCTACCTCTAGCTCCTTGTGCACCGTGATGCGCTGCAGCTTCTCTGCCTCGTCCCGCTCCACCTTTGCCAGCAGCTCCTCCACACTCTGGCCCTCCATGGCTCCAGGCGACTCACTCCCTTAAGGGCGGCAGCTGAAGTTACTTCTTCCACAGCCGCTGCTCTAGCCCCGGCACCGCAACCACGTGCGGGCGCTCAGACGCTCAGCCCGGAAGAGAAAGTTTCGCTTCCGGAGCACCCGGAACCCACTCAAGATCCAGGCGACTTGAGGAAAGGCCGGCAGAGGGCGGTGTTGGAGAGCTGATGGGCGTAGAGGCGGGACCTGGCGCCCGGAAGTGGGCGGAGCTGGCGCGAGGAGCCCGGAGGACAGGTTCCAGGGCCTGATTGGGACTGCGGCTCCCGGGATGCGGCGGTCCGTGCGGGTGGGCTCGGGAATGGGACGGCCGTGGGGCTGTAGTTGATGTGGGTTCTGATCAGGTGGGGGGTTACAATTTCAATATAAACTCGTTGTAAAGATGTGTAGCTAGTCAGCTGTTCTTGGGGCTAGGTAAATTACTTCGCCAGAGCCATAACCCGCTCTCGGGGTCCTGGGTGTCGGCCGAGAAAGACACACCCGGTTTGCTTTGGGAGCGAGCGGGGCTGACATTCAGTCTGCCCTGGGTGGGGCAGGTGTGCACCACCCCAGCGAGGTGACTCAGAGTCAGGAGATTCGTCCTCTCTTGGCAAGACTGCGGTTTCTGTAGACTGCCTGAGTGCGAGTCCTGATTATGCCACTGTTTGACCTTTGGCCATTTAACTTATTTGAGCCTATTTTAAATTTTGAGAAAGATTTAAGTATTTTCTGGATTAATGAGGACTATTACCATTATTTAGTGAAGCCTAGATTTATCATTTACAGCAAAACAATGTGTTCAGTGTTAAAAAGCATGAAGTCTTTTTTAAAAAAACAGACAGCAATTGTACTGCACTTTCAATATTATTTTTGTTACCAAAAGAAGTATGAGTTTTTCTAGTAACAGTGGTCTCACTAACACCATTATAATTTAACTGCTTTGTGTTTTTTAGAAAGTAAAAATAATCCGTACTGTGTATCCAAGTCACTGGCTTCCAGTATAACTTCTACCAATAGTCAAAAAGTTAAAAGCAACACTAGACACATCCACATTTTTATTAAATAACATTTACAACAGTTACTTGTAAGTCCACTTTTGAAAATATTTGTAATCTTTCCTTTCCCCCCACCAGCATGTTTGTTAACATAATTCTAATCATGCCACACTCCCTTCTCATGCAACCATTCCAAAACATTCTGCGTGACATTGGTTCCAAGGGATATGAATGGTGTTGCATGATAGAGTTCCATGATGACACAGGTTTAGAACAAACCATTTAGATCCAGATGAACTTTTTGTTTCTTTTCTGCAGGACTTCCTAGAGCCCTTCATGTGCTAATGTGCACTCTGACTCTCTGAGAGGGCAATACAGCAGTAAGTAGTTTCCCAAACTTACTTGGCCATGTAATTTTTTTATAATGTGGCATCTTATGGGGCATTCTTTGATCATAGTGTTTTACCGTAAGAAATATTGCTTCAATAGATTTCCATTATCTACAAGACACAATTCAGATTCCTTAGCACAAGTCTGAGAACAAGAGCTATCTCGTTAGGCCAGAATATCTCAGTTCAAATTATGGCTATGCCATCTGCTTAGCTGTGTGACACTGCAGAAATTAACGGTAGACATTAGATTAAAACCTGCCTCACCAAGCCGTGCACGGGTGCATGGCACATTCTGTGACAGCGCTGTCCCTCCTGGTGCACACTCCGGCGCGTGACGGGAGAGCACTGCGTACCCATGTCCCTAAAATCATCAAAGTAACGTGAGGAAGACTGCGCGGAGCCCGGGCGGGCCACACCCAGGGGGGATGCAGGGGCACGGCGGCGTCCCCGGCCCCAGCCCGCCCGTCCGCCAGCCCCGCACTCACGCTGCGAGCTGCATTTGCCTCAGCAAGTGCGCGACCCGGGCCCGGGCGGCGGCGGCCATGGCTGCACAGTCCTCCTTCCCTCCCCATGTCCCCGTCCTGCCCTCTCCGCCGGCCAATCCCCACCGCCGCCGTCCTCCCGCCCACTGGACCTCGTCCCCGCACCCGACCTGCTAGGTCGCCTGCCTGAACTTCAGCCCGCCGTGGCTCTGGACCATTTCCCCACGAGGAGTCACAACCACAACTGCCCCAGCTGCAAAGTCTCACCATCCACCCTTGGAATGGCCCTAGAAGTTAACCGCTCCGTAGGGTCTTGGACACTGCCTTAAATCTCGACCTAAAATCCTCTATTTTTCACGTTGGGACTTGGGGAAAGGGAGCAGAACAAGGGCATTCTTTTTCCACCCTGAATCCTTTAAAATGCCACTTTGCCTTCTGAGAACACGTTCAGAATAAACTGGAAAAGACTGAGGGACAGGAAGAAGACCCAAGGCAGTTACAAACATTTCACCTTCTAATCAAACCAGCTCCGGTCAGTTTGACAAAGGAATCAAAAGATAATGTTCCAGTTAAGGATTTTGTGAGTCTCTTTCTCTCTTCCTCAAATAGGCTCTACTTGAAGTCAAGCTTTAAAAAACAGGATATAAATTTTGAGAAAGATTTAAGTATTTTCTGGATTAATGAGGACTATTACCATTATTTAGTGAAGCCTAGATTTATCATTTACAGCAAAACAATGTGTTCAGTGTTAAAAAGCATGAAATCTTTTTTAAAAAAACAGACAGCAATTGTACTGCACTTTCAATATTATTTTTGTTACCAAAAGAAGTATGAGTTTTTCTAGTAACAGTGGTCTCACTAACACCATTATAATTTAACTGCTTTGTGTTTTTTAGAAAGTAAAAATAATCCGTACTGTGTATCCAAGTCACTGGCTTCCAGTATAACTTCTACCAATAGTCAAAAAGTTAAAAGCAACACTAGACACATCCACATTTTTATTAAATAACATTTACAACAGTTACTTGTAAGTCCACTTTTGAAAATATTTGTAATCTTTCCTTTCCCCCTACTTTGACAAATACACAAGCTTGCTATAAAAATAATGCAAAAATGTACAAACCAGTCTGTTGGGAGTGTCTGAAACATGAGCAACTCCCCCTCGCCCCATATTCAAAATTAAAGAGATAGCTGTTTAAGAATAGAACTCACTTCCAATTTGGACCAAATTATTTCCCAAATTCTTACGTCCTCAAATACCTCAAATCCTTTAATCTCAAGCCAGTCTCAGTTGTGGGAAAATATTAATTTGTAGAGTCCAACACTTTAACGTTCTCTCTTGAAGGGAGGGCAATTCTGTCCCTTTAAGCTCAGTGAAGGTAGCGGCCACTTCCTTCTGCATTCCCGTACGTTTCCTAGAACTTATTTAATATAACATAGTTCTTGGTTTACAGAACGGCTCTGAGAGTGGAACTATTACTTCCTCCTCTTTCTCCCTTGGTGCTGTCCTCCTTTCCTCCTGGCACCCAAGCCAGGCGGCCCGGAATTCATCTTGCCTCCCACGCCCCCTTTCCTCTTGCCTCCCTGGCTGGGCGGTCCCCCTTTCCTCTTGCCCGCAGGACCCTGCCGACCCCCCTTCCTCTTGCCCTTCTGGCTCATTTTCCTCCTCTTGGCGGCCTCCTCCTGGTCCTCTTCCCTCATCTGCTTATTGGTGGCCCTCGTCACGTCCAGCTGAGGCTTCTTGCTGTTCATGATCCGAAGCAGCTCCAACTGGCTCATTTTCTCGGCTGCAAAGTCCCCAAAAAGGGGCTGAAACTTCCTCTTCTTGCCGGAGCCCCGGGGTGTTTTTTCCTTGGGGAGGCGCTCCTGGAAGCGCCCCAGAGAGGCGGTGGAGACCTTGGCCACTTGCATGGCGCGGCCCAGCTCCTCCTTACTCTGGTGTCCGGTAGGATGCATGCCGGCCGTGCTGGGCAACTGCATCTTGTGCGCGCGGGCCAGGTTCCGCAGCCGGTTCAGCTCGTTTTTGGCCACTCTTTCTTTCTTGGCCTGAACACGCTTGGCGAACTGGTCCTCCATGGGGTTGGCGCTTCCGGGCACCTCGATCAGCCATTCCTTGGTGTCGTCCCGGGCGCGTTGGTAGCCCCAGCGACGCCGCCACTGACCGCTCACCTCGTCCCACACCAAATTGGTCTTCTTCTTGGGACGAATGCCCTTGAGGCGTGCAAACTGCTGCCAGCGTGTAAGGGGCCGCGGCCGGGGCACCGGCTTCTCACGCGGCAGGCGCGTGGTGGGCTCGGGCAGTCGCGCCACCAGCGCCTCTTCCACGCGCTCGGTGGGCAGCTGCCACAGTTGGTTGATGAGCAGCTGCGTGTTGTCTCGCGCCAGGGCCCGCAGCTCGGCCTCTGGAGTAGATCCCGCGTGCCGCAGCCCCGTTGGGGGGTTCCGGTCCAAAGCCAGCAGGTTACCCAAGTCAAATTCTACCTCTAGCTCCTTGTGCACCGTGATGCGCTGCAGCTTCTCTGCCTCGTCCCGCTCCACCTTTGCCAGCAGCTCCTCCACACTCTGGCCCTCCATGGCTCCAGGCGACTCACTCCCTTAAGGGCGGCAGCTGAAGTTACTTCTTCCACAGCCGCTGCTCTAGCCCCGGCACCGCAACCACGTGCGGGCGCTCAGACGCTCAGCCCGGAAGAGAAAGTTTCGCTTCCGGAGCACCCGGAACCCACTCAAGATCCAGGCGACTTGAGGAAAGGCCGGCAGAGGGCGGTGTTGGAGAGCTGATGGGCGTAGAGGCGGGACCTGGCGCCCGGAAGTGGGCGGAGCTGGCGCGAGGAGCCCGGAGGACAGGTTCCAGGGCCTGATTGGGACTGCGGCTCCCGGGATGCGGCGGTCCGTGCGGGTGGGCTCGGGAATGGGACGGCCGTGGGGCTGTAGTTGATGTGGGTTCTGATCAGGTGGGGGGTTACAATTTCAATATAAACTCGTTGTAAAGATGTGTAGCTAGTCAGCTGTTCTTGGGGCTAGGTAAATTACTTCGCCAGAGCCATAACCCGCTCTCGGGGTCCTGGGTGTCGGCCGAGAAAGACACACCCGGTTTGCTTTGGGAGCGAGCGGGGCTGACATTCAGTCTGCCCTGGGTGGGGCAGGTGTGCACCACCCCAGCGAGGTGACTCAGAGTCAGGAGATTCGTCCTCTCTTGGCAAGACTGCGGTTTCTGTAGACTGCCTGAGTGCGAGTCCTGATTATGCCACTGTTTGACCTTTGGCCATTTAACTTATTTGAGCCTATTTAAAAACCTGTTAGATGGGAATTCTAATAGTGTTCACTAACTAGGGCTGTTACAAGAATAAATGTGTTAACGTGCTCCAAGGGAGGCTTAGGCTAGGGCCTGGAACATATGAGCGGTCAATGAAAACCAACTAAACACCAATTATTATTTAATCTTAATAATGGCCCTGGGAGCTAAGCCAAAGAGGCAGTATTAGATGGTGGTTAAACACTAGGTTTCTTGAGTCAAAGTGCCTAGAATCAGATCTCGGTTTACCATTTATTGTGCCTACTTGGACAGGTTGTTTAACCTAAGCCCTATTCATAAGTTGATTAATATGAAACATTAGTTCCTGGTACATAGTCAGAATTTAGTAAGTGTTAGCTATTATTGTTATTAACTACTGTTTTAACTATGTTATTTCTGCTGATGAAAAGGCAAGTCTCAGAGAGGTGAAATGACTTATCTAAGGTTGTATAGCTAGCAAATGTGGGAACAACAGGTATCTTAACTCTGTCTTTAAGACTATATACACACTCTCTGCAATGTCATTCAAGCTCGTAATACTCAAAAAGTGCAGTCAACCGACCAGCAGCATGACAAAACCTTGGAGCTTGTTAGAAATGCAAAATCTCAGGCCTGTCCCCAGATGTAATTTATGAGAACCTCCATGTTAATAAGATCTCCAGGTGATTAGTATGTACATTCAATTTTGGGAGGCAGTGCTGATTGTGTGGTTTACAGGGTTTATCTTCCTTTCACTGGGCACAAGGGTTATCGAAGAGGGGATTATGCTGGAGAATTAACCAATAGAAATTAACATAATAGCAGTTAGGAAATAAACTTTCTAAGTTTCAGCATTGTATCAGACTCCCCTTTCTTCCTCTTATCTAAAAGCATTTTAGGATTTGCTGTTTTTTTGTTGGATTATGCTGGAGAATTAACCAATAGAAATTAACATAATAGCAGTTAGGAAATAAACTTTCCAAGTTTCAGCATTGTATCAGACTCCCCTTTCTTCCTCTTATCTAAAAGCATTTTAGGATTTGCTGTTTTTTTGTTTTTTTTTCCTGAGCCTTTGCCTTAACACTCAGCATCAAGTCTTTAACATCAGTCATCCCATGGGGCCAAGGCTAGGTCAAAGGCTGTATGAGGTAACTGCCTTGAATCTTCAAACTTTGGGGATTTGCCATAGGAGAGAGTTAAGGATATTGGTATGACTGCCCTGGGCTTAGCTTGGCTTCTGATCCATTCATTCACTCAAGAAACATTTAATTGAATGGCTTCCATGTGCCAGACACTAGATACAAAGTTTATTGAGACCCTATGGAACAATGAAGAAGAAAGATGTGTAAGGAGAAATGTACTGCGAGTATATAGTGTGACTGGTCCTCTAACAGGAAGTATGACTGTGCAGGGTTTAGCTCCTCTGTCAATCTTCAGAATTAGGAAAAAAAGAGCATAGTTTGACAGATGTTAAATGGTATGAATTCTCACTGGATGAAATGCTGTTTGTTCTGGGTTGTACAGAGCAGCTCTTAATTGAACTGTAATTGTTTTATGTTCAATGGTTTTTTATAGTCTAAATGGATTTTAATTTCCTTGAAGACTGGAGACTGATTTTTACTTACATATAATAGGTGTTCAATACATGATTGCTTGAAAGAGTAAGTATTATAGGCTTTTCTAAGTTAAAGCGGAATTAATGTTGGTTATGTATTCAAGGTGGGCAGAAGGAGTAAATTGGGAATTGGGGCTTTTAAAAAAATCTTATTGAGGCAAGTGGTAAGTGCTGGTCTCCAGCTTCCCTTTGTTTTCATCTTCATTTAGGCAAGGGTACATATAAAGTGTCAAGAAAAAGAAAGCCTACCAGAGATGTGCGCATATATGTGAATATGTTTTAATAGTATGACAAATGGTGATGCATGTTATCTTTTCCCTTTGTTGGTTTTACTTCCTCCTTTTGTGCCATAAATACAGAGAGATCCCAAGTTCGGTCATCAGAACCCCCTTCTTTTCTTCTGTGCCTGTACGGTATGCCATTTCATCCACTCAGCTGCCACTTTTGTGCAGGTAGTTCTTAGAGGTGATGAAGAAGAAAAAGGCCAGGAAAGGAGAGTAAAAGAAAAGAACTACAGTGACTCCGTTTTTTTTTAACTTAATTGACCTGTTTTCTAGCCCAAGAAGCTGACCCTTCATTAGAATTTACTGCTTAGGAGACTCTTGTATAGATAAGCAAGCGCAGATAACATTGTTTAGAGAAATCCTGGGAAGGCAGGATGTGTGTCAATCTGTTAAACATATGGGGAATTACTTACTAATTACATACCTAGATTAGAGTAGCCATAAATATTGTAAAAGGCCCGAGAAACCATGTTCAGTTATCCATTTATCTTCACACAATGTTTGGAATTTGTTTACCGTTTAGACTTTTCCTGACTACACAATAAAACCTCATCACTGTTTCTGCCTTTTGGGCAGTCTTACAAGCTGAAAAGTGGTCTCCCTGGTTTGCACATCTAACAAGCCTCATGTAAATTTCCTTAGAGACTGCAGTGTTCTGCTTTGGCAGAGGTGTGTCTTTATCCCTTTCCTTTTCAAAACTCTAGGCTTAGATCTCTATGTGCTGGTCTTTTTAAAAAAATTTTTTTTATTTTTTATATCACACTCTAAATTCAGTATGTTTAAAACTACAGAACATGTCATCTTCCCTCACATTTGCTCTCCTTTCATCATCCACCCATCTGCACCCCCCCCCCCCCCCCCCCCCCCCCCCCCCC